CCTTATATGTATTAGCTTGGCGCTAGCTCGACAAACAAGCTAAAGTGAGGTCCTCCATCCATATTTTCAGTCACAGGCTGAGTCATTTCTACCTTCTCCTCTCTYTCAACGCTCCCTGGCTTCATTTAAAAYAGTCGATCATCAGATATTGTCCAAGATTAACCTTCAGTTTGGATATAGCTCGCTAGCAGCCTCACACCYATGACCTAGTTGACATCATCATTTACCCAGAATGCTTTGMGTTTAAATAAAATGGCTCCATCCYTGTAATATGCTTTAAAACTTTTAGTTAAAAAAATGATAAAAACTAAACAGCCTACAGTATTTTTACAGCCTTTATTTTACAGTTAAAGTATACGTTTATCAAATAAAGTCTAATCTTACAACTAATCGGAGATCCCTTTAAAACAACTTATTTCTAAAAGATGACAAAGATGAATGCTATAAAACTCGACACTAATGTCATCAATGGCAGTTATTTAAGCTGAAAGATTAAGATTAATTATTTTGGTTACCAGCATTGCTCTGAGTGGAATGTGTTGAGTTTTGTCTGGTAGAGGAACTACTTGAGAAAAAAAGGGCAATGCTTAACGTTTGATTTCTGGCCATGTTTCATTTTGCGACATGAGTTTCTCACGAATCATTGCCATCCTGTTGGTTCTTTTCACCTTTTCCTCCAAGTGGAGTCGGCAGGTTTTCCATCCTGCTCCTCCTGAAGCCACATCACTTCCTGATTCACAAACTCTACAGAAAGGCCCTGTCACACAACATTTTAGACAACTTCTGCCAACTTGTGAAAAATTAAAGACATCTATACTGAAGATGGAATAAAAAAAAACTGTAAGCCTATTTTAGGTGTGTACTGTAATGCTAACTAATTGATCAAATCTATAACTTTTATTAGTCATTTAGACATAAAACAAATTTCATAAGTTGTCAGAAACACTGCAGTGTGACAGGGCCTGTACACATGGCAATATTTTTAATTTGACAATATAAGTTAATAGTAAATATTATTTCTGTTAAATATTTGCTGTTAGAATGTTATCTGTTCAAAATATTAAGCCAAAATTATTTGGAGAAAATAAGCTGAGTGATTTCCTTTACAGGTAAGATAATGACTACTGATAACAACTCGGCTTCATATATTTAAGGACACAGATACAGCAGASTTAGTTGTTGATGTGAAAAATCATTTGAACTCATTTATACATCTTGAATGTTTGTTTAAATARGTACCGCTCTCTTTTCAGTTAGGATGGTTTAGTTTATGCTTTATGAGTCAATACATATTTTATTATTCAAGTACTTCAAGTGCTGGAGTGGTTTTGTGGTGGTGTCCTCATGCTTTTCTTTATTTCCATCAGTCTCATTGGTTTTCTTTGAGAAATGCTGGCCAGTGGGCTGAATGTTTTTTGACTCAGCATGTGATGTAGAGTCAAAGAGAGAGAGAGAGAGAGAGGGAGGAAAAAAACTTTCATTCATACTGCCATAATACTCTATTCATGAACCCTGTGTGCTTTTATTATTTAAAGAATTCTCCCAGTACAGAAACCTCCATCCTGTCTTATTGTGGAGCCATCATCGGAGGAGCTATTTTCACAGAGACAAAAAATAGTCCCATTTGTGAAATACTGGTTATCTATAATGGGACCCTGGGGCCTCAGAGGAGGGGAAGACCGGATCCTACAGACTTCAGAATCCCACTGGTYGATTATGTTGGTTTTTTCTCCTCTTTCTTTTTGTAGCACTATTTTTCTTTATTCTGTGTTAAACAATAAGCTTTGAATACAAACTGTYTCAATATACAATATTTAATACATATAGCTAGAAAGATATATTAATTAGTCTAATTGAACAAACTTTCAAGCACTATTAATTCATTATTT